TATATATATATATATATATATATATATATATATATATATATATATATATATATATATATATATATATATATATATATATATATATATATATATATATATATATATATATATATATATATATATATATATAATTTTGTGCCATTTGGAGTATTTTTTAGCTGAACACCCACTTCAGATGCATGTGCAATTTGTTTGTGATTAAAATAATAATAATAGTATGTAATATATAAATGTATGTGTGTGTGTGTATAACATACCATTAATATTGTACCAAGAAACTGGATTATCGGATTTTGTTAGCTGGCAAAATCAAAGACGATCTCAGTTGCCATGAAATTTGTCAGACTTGAGGTTGAGTATGAGAATTATGTACCATTCACATGGGTGTAACAGCACAATAAAACACCAAAACGACTGTGGGTGAACAGAAAAGAGGAAAAAGTGGAAGATTATTAGGCGGTCAAAGAAAGAATTCCCAGCAGTTCTGGTCACGCGAATGAGGAATAGAAAAAATAAAACTGATGCTGCCCTACTAACATTCTGCCCTCAAATCTACATTTCACCCACAGAACTTTGTGTTTTGAGGAAAAAAAGTGGAGTGGCTTGGGTTTTTTCAAAGGTGCTCATTTGATACAAATTGCTTGGTGAAACAATAGTGAAGGCTTACGATGTTGAACGTCCTCGAGTTAATTGGGGCTCTGTCTTTTGTGCAAGCCCGCTGTTTTTCTTGGGTTTTCTCTTGGGGAGGAAGCACATGTGCGATGGTGAAACCCGAGCAGAGAGTCTGGACGGAGCAGGCGACACCAGGCCAGACGTTCAAGATATCACTGAAACAGCACTTTCAAAACCAGCTTCAATTGACGCCATGTGTTTTGCATCAAACCATTAATAACCCCAGTTCTTTTAAGCAGATTCAGTTCCTTGAGTGTCAAAAGTTTCAATGTGAATTGACAAGCTTCTTATTCATCTTGTTTTATTTTTTTATTTTTTATTTTTTTTAACTTAGGCTGGTTTCTCTGAAGTCTCAATTTTTGTCAGTTGGTGTTGTTTTGGTTTCTTGCCACTGTTGCCTTTGGCTTGCCAAGTTGCATTTGGTAGAGCTTCACTACAGTCAATAACATCCTTCAACAATGATTTTTGTGTTGAACTGAATTGGTTCATTATTGAACTAACTAGAACAAAACTATCATTCTGTGAAACTGAATGCACCCGAGCCAAACTGCAGACTTTTTTTGTTATTTTTGTGCTGAATTTTGCAAAAACAAATCTGTACATAAAGCAGGAAAATATGTATTGAACACGTCACTATTTTTCTCAGAAAACATATTTCTAAAGGTGCTGCTGACTTACAATTACCGGGTGTTGGTAATAACCACAGAAATCCATAGATGCAAAGGAAATTAATCTAATTAGTTTACAAATGAAGTCATGCGTAATAAAATGAAATGATGCAGGCAAAAAGTATTAAACACACGAAGAAAGGGAGGTCTAGAAAGGCAGTGAAAGCCCAGACAGCAGCTGAAATCTCTCAGTAGATCTTCAGCAACCCTCTGCCCTTCATCATTGTAAATGAATATCAGCTGCTTCAGTCCAACATCTGCATTAGCAGGATGATGAAGATGAAACCAGAGTGGACATTTCAGCAAGACAATGATCCAAAACACAACCAGGGAAACTCTCAAATGCTTTCAGAAAAAGAAAATCCAGCTGTAGACTGTAGAAATTACCCAATCACCACACTTGAATCCAATTGAAAATACAAAATAAAGATCCCATCAAGATTTAGACACTGTTGAAGTCTGTGAAAAACTCACACCTGAGCAATGCATGCGACTTCATTCTCCATATGAGAGACGTCTTTAAGCTGCTGTCACCAATGTTATGTTTGTATTGTTTGGATTTTTACCAAAATCGGGTTCAATTCCATGTCAACAGCTCCTTTAGAAATAATAAAATCTGAGGAGTGGGCCTACATAACCTAAACTACTAAAGAAACCCCTTAAGAATTTTTTTTCAAATGTGCTTTTAGTGTAATTCCTCTTTTGTTGTTGTTGTTGTTTTTAGGGGTTTTTCACCTTTATTGTGACAGGACAGTGGAAATATACAGACAGAAAAGTATGGGGAGAAGAGATAGGGGAAGGGTCGGCAAAGGACCTCGAGCCGGGAATCGATCTCAGGTCACCGTGAGCACCTCACTGCTGTGTGTCAACGCACTAACCACTAGGCTATTGGCGTAGACTAGTGTACTTCTTTTGAAGTAAAAATCAAGTACACTTAGTCTATTTTTAAGTACATTTCTTAAACATTCTTCTCAGAAATATACTTAAAATCACACTTAAGCATACTTAACTTAAGGCTGTTTACACACCGTTTTTCTGACTGAAAATGGGTAAATGTGAATATGGATTTCTAAGTGTTTGTTTTTGAAAACGCTACTGTCATTGTGTCCGTGTAAAGACCCAAAAATTAAAGTCTTTGTAAACAATTTAGTTTTTGAAGTGTAGATCAGAGGGAAGTTAAAACTAGTATACACAACAGTGGTGGAGTACATGGTAGTGTTTACTTGAGGCTACTACAAATTGCACTATTTGTCTTCAAACTAGTACACTTGAAGTATAACACGAGTAAACTAATTGTTAACTAAAAGTATACTAACAGAACACTTGCAATATAACACTAGAAAACTATAGTTAATTAAGAGTGTCATTGTATATTGGGGCAGTCGCGACCTAGTGTTAGCTAGACAGACTTGTGATTCAAAGTTTTCTGACACCAGCAGGGATTGTAGTTGGGGTAAGGGTGCGAGTGTGTTCATCACCTAGTGTGCACTTGGATGACCAAATGTTGAGTATGGAATGCCATACTTGACCACGTCATGACCTTTGTCAAAATAATTAGCCCTTGTGTGAATTTTTATTTTATTTTTGAAATATTTCCCAAATGATGTTTAACCGAGCAAGGAAATTTTCACAGTGTTACCTATAATATTTTTCTTCTGGAGAAACTCTTATTTTTGTTATTTTGGCTACAATACAAGAAGTTTTTTTTAATGATTTAAAAACTATTTTAAGGTCAATACTATTAGCTCCTTAAGGCTATATATTTTTTGATAGTCTACAGAACAAACCATCATTATATTAAGCTATTTAAGCCTTTACATTGCACTTTAAGCTGAATACTAGTATCTTAAAAAATATCTAGTCAAATATTATGTACTGTCATCGTGGCAAAGAAAAAATGGTCCCACTTTATATTAAGTGTCCTTACTATGTACTTACATTAAAAAATAAATACAATGTACTTACTGTGTTTATAATGTATTTGAGAACACTTGTGGTGCTTTTGAGTTGGGATAGAGGTTGGGTTATGGACAGGTTTTGTGGTATGTGTAGGTTTAAGGGTGGGTTAAGGTGTAAGGGATGGTCGACAGTGTATTTACAAATGTAATTACAAAAGTTAATTACAGATGTAATTACATACATGTATTTAATCAAGCATAAGAACACAGTAAATACATGTATTTACACAATAAGTACATTGTGACAAACTATCAATTCATGTGTAAGTATATATTAGTTAAGGCCACTTAATGTAAAGTGGGACTGAAAAAATAAATCAGTTATTAGAAATGAGTTATTAAAACTAATAAGTTTAGAAATGTGTTGAAAAATCTTTGTTAAACAGAACCTGGGGAAAAAATTATACAGGAGGGCTAACAATTCAGGAGGGGCTAAAAACTCCAACTTAAACTGTAAGCATTCACTGTTACGCTTGTATAATTTAATATACTAAACATTGTATAATTTAAACTGTATAATTTAACATAATATCATGATCTAAACCTAATATGATCTAAGCAATGTGTAATTTAATATACTAAACCAGGGGTGTCCAAAGTCGGTCCTGGAGAGCCGATGCTCCAACTTGCTTCAACACACCTGCCTGGAAGTTTCTAGTATACCTAGTAAGAGCTTAACTAGCTGCTACAGGTGTGTTTAATTAGGGTTGGAACTACACTCTCCAGGACACCGGCCCTTCAGGACTGAGTGTGGACACCCCTGTACTAAACACTTTAATATACTGAAACAAAAGGTCCAATTTAGCCTCATGTGGCATTTAGGTAGTACTGTACAAATATATATACTACACATATTATACTTAAATACATCAACATTACTTAAGTATACTTCTTTTTAGCGAGGGTCTTCATAGCTGATTTTTGATTATACACCTGGTTTGGCACAATCTTTAGAGTTCAATAAAGTCCTATAGAAATATAAATTACTTGACTTTACATATTTATCTAAAGCTTTTGTCTGTATGGATGTGAAAAATTAGAGTCTGCATGGCACTGATATGGTTTCCCAGTTGTGGGATGCGACTGGAAGGACATTTGCTGTGTAAAACATATGCTGGAATAGTTGGTGGTTCATTCCGCTGATAAATAAGAGACTAAGCTGAAGGAAAAAGAATGAATGGCACTGATTTGGAAGAAAACTATACTGTAATGAGTTTAAAACACCAACAGAGGGCAGCAGCTCTGATTCAAACAGCAGATTCTCGATTTGCAACATCCTGAGCAAAAACTTGAATGCTGCTTTGTTGAGTTTCTGAGTCCTCTGGGATGCTGAGGAATGTGTTTATCTCATCCAGAAAATCATTTATGTTAACACTCCCCGTACCTGTCAACTTCCTCAAGACAAATAACAGCCTCCCACTTCTATTTCCTGCCTCTATCTCAGAAAACGCAGACGTCTGTAATCATATTATGAATGTTTATTTACCCGAATTCGGGCTCTGGCGGCCTCCACTCCTCCTGGCTGACCAGCTATGGACACCTGCAGAAAAAGAACAGGAACGTCACATGAATGGAGGACAAGATTACAGCACACATGCTTTACATGGACACGTAAAAAGCTAGTTTAAGATCATTTAGACATGCATGATTTTATAAATGATGAATTATAAAAATAATGTTTACACAAACGCCAACATGCATGTGCCTAAATACACAAAATCATTTAGTAACTAAATTGATGCATTTGGTATGCATAATAATAATAGTAAAAACTATTTAAATGTAATTATTGTTAATTATAATACTTTCTAATAAATGTATTTATTTATTTGCACAAAATAAATAAACACATACTTCCATATAGTGTAAGTGAATAAGAGCAAAATATTTTATACAATATCTTATAAATATTATATAAACATTCATTCATTCATTTTCTTTTCGGCTTAGTCCCTTTATTAATCTGGGGTAGCCACAGCGGAATCAACCGCCAACTTATCCAGCATATGTTTCACGCAGCGGATGCCCTTCCAGCCGCAACCCATCAGTTGGAAACCCATACACACTCATTCACACACATGCATACACTATGGACAGTTTAGCCTACCCAATTCACCTGTACCGGGGAAACCGGAGCACCCGGAGGAAACCCACATGAACGCAGGGAGAACATGCAAACTCCACACAGAAACACCAACTGAGCCAAGGTTCGACCCAGCGACTTTCTTGCAGTGAGGCGACAGCACTACCTACTGCGCCACTGCATCGCCATAATAATAATAATAATAATAATAATAATAATAATAATAATAATAAAAATTAAATACATTATTTATTAGTATTATTATTAGTAGTAGTAGTATAGGAGTAGTATATAATAACAGTAAAACTATATTTAAAATTATTTCTTGTTTTTAACAAAAAAAGTTTTGGTAGAGAAAACACAGAAACTCTTCATTTGAAATGCATTTTACTTATTTTAAATACTTGTATATATTTATTATTTATTTTTTATTTTTTGACAAATACAGTACATGTATAACGCTCAAGTAAAACGATCACAGTGCTGTGCATTAAATATATTTATATAAATTGTATACTATAATTTTAGACATTTATTTAACGACATGGAATAATCTCAGGCATTATTAGAATTGATCAATCAAGTTACTAATTAATAAGTTAAACAGCACTTAGTCCCACATTTGATAAGTTTTCATTTTAGGCCATAGTTTTAATAATCAAATACTACAAGTGAAGATTTTCAGTTGTTTTTCACACACAAAAAGAGAAAGTCAAGTATTTGGAAGGGGCGCAAGTGTGAATAAATAATTTTCATTTTTGGGTGAAGTAATCCTGTAAGAATGAAAAACACCCCTCCACCAAGTGTTATCGTAAGAGTAGCACTGGATAGAGAGATTTCTTCTGTCAGCGAGTACCAGCCGCTCTGAGGGAGGCCCGCGTCATTGCTCAATTTACACATTCCCCACTTCATCAAGTCTGGAAACACATCTCGCGTGCAGTTTTAGTGCAGTCTTTATCACTGTGCTGAACATCCCTTATGGGCTGCAGACAACATGCGCATACAGTAGAAGAGGCTTGTACATAAAGTTATTTTAAGAGTCAAAACAGGCCTCCAGAATCTTGAATCTAATTTGGGTGAACCTCATGAGACCAGTCAAGGATATCGCATAAACATTATGAATTCTTGTCTGTGTGTGTATATACAGTTGTTCAATGGAAAGAGGATTTTTGTCAACCCATTTCTAAACATAGTAGTTTTAATAAGTCATTACTTATAACTGATTACTTTTATCTTCGCCACAATGACAGTGGATAATATTTTACTAGATATTTTTTAAGATACTAGTATTCAGCTTAAAGTGACATTTGTAGACTTAACCAGCTTCATTAAGTTAACTAGACAAGTTAGAAAAAAATACTGCTTAATGCTGTGTTCACACCAGAAATAAATTGTGCTATTCACGCATAAATATACACGTGAACATTTTGTGTTTGATTGCAAACGACAAATTTGCTTAATTCGCGCATCACTTCACAATAGACGTGGATTCGCATCATGGCCAGGGCTTCTGTTTGCCCTGTCACTGTAGCTTCGTTGCTAAATGGTTAACATGCATTTTGAGAGAGTAGCAGGGCTTTATGTGCTTTAGGAAGGCTGTAAAACAATGTAGATTTGTTTGGGGTTGTGTCTGAGTCCACTAGATCCTGATTTCAATTTTTTTTTTTTTTTATTAGAATATGCAAAAATCATACAAATACAAAAAAACATCAACAGATAACAAATACAAAGCAGTAGTCAAGTACTGGTATGTGCATGAGTGTGCGTGTGAGTGTGTGTATGCATGTAAAGGTAACTTGGTGGACAGGTCAGGGTACATACATTAGGAACAATAACAGTCAATAAATGAAGCAAGTGTCACAGATATAGATAAAACATATAGAAAGAAACCAGTCAGAGGTAGGGAGTAACAACAATGCTTATTAATGTATGATAGTAAATATGAGAGTGAAAAGAGAGAAAGGACAACAGTAATAACTGACAACAATAATAATAAATCACAAGTGCTACACCAACTACTACTACAGCAAGTTACTTATATAACAACTACTACTGCTTCTACTACAGCCACAACCACGACTACTACTACTAAAGTGTCTACTAATACTGATACTACTACAACGACTACCACTACTGATACTACTATAGCGTTTGCTACAACTAATACAACAACGTCTCCTGCGACTGCTACTACTACTACAATCACTTCTACTACATCTACATCAACAACATCTACTACTGATATTACTACACCAACAACGACTACTACTACTACTTCTGTAACAACCACACCATTACTACTTCTGCTACTACTATACCAATGACATCTACTACTACATGAACTACAACTTCTATAATCTCCGTAACAATTACTCAATAACAATTGATACTATTACAATGACTACTACTTCAACTACTACTACTACTACTACTACTACTACTACTACTACAACTACTACCATTACAACTACAACAACTGCAACCTTACTAATGATAATGGTATAAATACTTGTAATAATGATAATGAAAAGATAACAGGACAAGTCAGAATAATAGTCAGTAATAATAATAATGAAAACAAAAAATAAAAGTAATACCATTCATGACAAAGATGTCGAGGCAAGGGGAGGATGGGAAATCAGGGAGAGGACAAGTAATAATAATAATAATAATAATAACAATAATAATAGATCCTGATTTCAGAGGTGCACCCAACTCTGTGAGTTAATCCACTCCTTCAGAAACTATACCTGGATGAGGGAAGCTTTCAGAGGTGCTTCTGACTGAGCCCAGCCCAGTTTGATGTTCTGTTGTCAGGTGTCAGCAGTAGGATTTTCCCTTGGGACACTAACAACAGGCGCTACGTCATAATCACGCCGCTACAAGAGCAAGCTCCTGATTGGTTACACAGTGCGAATGTCCGCTGAAGTTCCAACTTGAGCGATCTGTGCATTAAACGGTTCAAGCATGTCAAACAAGCAAAACGCTCTGCTTCATTCGCACGAATCGCGCCATTTGCACCGCCTCATTCACTTGAATCATGCTGCAGGATGTCTGTTCATGTCTTTGCATGGACTTAGCATGTAAATTACTCATACTTTCTCCGCATTTTGTGTGGATGCACCCTAAGGGGGCTAATAATATTGAACTTAAAATGTTTTTATTTTTTTTAGTTATTTATTTTTTAACTGCATTAAGTTTAGTCAAAATAAAACAAATTCTGTGAAAAATGTCTTGCTCTGTTAAACATCATTTGGGAAATATTTTAAAAAGAAAAAAAAATCATAGAGATGCTAATGATTTTAACTTTAACTGTAGCCTATATACTGTATATATGACTTAAATTATTTTAATGTAATTTAAATATGATTTAAATCATTACTATTGTTTTATTATAGAGCTTTAAGTAAACATTAAGAGACCTCTAGATTTGTCATTTATAGCTATATAAACAACTGATCACATGTCTTTAACATTTTTAATTAGAATATTATCGTTAATTCGATAGCACAATCACCTCACAGCAAGAAGGATCAAGTCCACAGTCCAAAGACATGCGCTATAGTTGAATTGGATAAGCTAAATTGTCCATAGTGTATGTATGTGAGTGAGTGTGTATGGATGTTTCCCAGTGATGGGTTGCAGCTAGAAGGGCATTCGCTACAAAAATGTACAAGGGCATGTACATTTTTTAAATATACCTGGTTTTAACTGTAATTTTCTTAGCAAAAGAAGTTTAACCAATCCTAAACTTTGTAATGGTAGTGCATTAATTAATTGAGTTAACTAATCATTCATTCATTCATTTGTGTGAAGATAGCAAAGCTCATTTTTAAACATCATTTAAGAACAATATTTTAATATTTATATTTATTCATCAGGGTCACCACAGCGGAATGAACCGTCAACTTATCCAGCATATGTTTTACACAGCGGATGCTCTTCCAGCTGCAACCTAGTACTGGGAAACATCTATGCACACTCCTTCACAAACATACACTACGGCCAATTTACTTATTCAATTCACCTTTAGCGCATGTCTTTGGACTGTAAGGGAAACCGGAACAAGTGGAGGGAACCCACGCCAACACGGGGAGAACATGCAAATTCCACACAGAGAATGCCAACTGATCAAGCCAGGACTTGAATCAGCGACCTTCTTGCTGTGAGGCAACAGTGCTAACCACTGAGCCTCCATGTTGTCTACAATTAATCTTCATTCTAATAATTCTAATTTAATATTTTTTGTTGTTAATCTTACAGTATTCTGTTGATAAAAATTCCAATTACAAGACAATTACAATGCTGATTACAAGTCCAAAAGCATAACGTATGCTCACTAATTTTTATTAAACTATTAAAATAATGCTAATATAATACAATTATTAAAATATACTTCAATTTTGTGTTCGCACTATGCTCACATATTTCCTGTATTATTTTTTTTTTTGGTGAAATTAGACTTGTATGTTTCCATGAGCTGGTTTAGTCGGATTCCCACCTGGTTGCTCTTCTCGGCCTGGTTGTTGCGGTTGGAGTCAGGGAAGTGGATGTGACAGCCCGTGTCCTCCATCACCTTCTTAATATTGTTTCCTCCTTTGCCGATGACATGCGAATGCTCCGTGTGCGAGACGTCCATCTTTAGAGTCACGCGGTTGCTCTGAGAAAACAAAAGATTCAGACTGTTAACAGCAGCGTCACAAACAGCTCTCAAATATTACATTTTGACGAAAAATACATTGCTCCGGCTTTGTTTTGTTGCACGTTTTAGATGACAAATCCACTAGAGGGTGCTGTCTATATTTTCACATTATTCTTTCTTCTGGTTGCTCTTCTCTTTCTTCTGACAGTTTAGATAACACTATCATGGAGTTTTTCTTTTATTATTTCAGCAAATAGGATTGTAAAAAAAGTATTTCTTGTACTCTCTTATTAACTGTGCTCTAAGTTTACCCAACCATGATGCCTTCCGCTACTTAGAAACTTGGAAATGTGAAAAGGGTCCATTGAACCACTGACAAAAACCTTTCCTTTATACCCAACCAATATTTGGTGTTTTCAGAAGCAAATGTAAGTGAATAGAATGACTATATTGATTTTACATTGTTCTTATTTCTTTTGTGGAACTGTGCTACTACACTGGACTTGAACCTGAGCACTTGGCATCACAATTACAATGCCAAACAAGGTGAGCTACTAAGCAAACTGACCACACCAAAAAAATGTCACCTGTAAATGTCATTAGTGTGTAAAGGAGCAGAAGTCGATGCAGTCATACTGCTGCGTAGAGTTGGTTTTACATAAAAAATGCAGTCAAACGTACCTTGAAATAGGCAATTTTCACAAATTATAACCTTCAGCATAATTATGTTATTAAGCTTAATGAAATGTTTTAGCTAAATAACAATAGCTGACAATAGCTAAAAAATGTATTGCTTTGAAATGAAAAACGGACATTGATGTATCAACTGGACTATGGATCTCAGAAGTTTGCAACTGTATACCATTGAAGAAGATCACATATTCTTTGAGAGGAAAGGGTGAATTATTTTTTTTTTTAAGATTTGGAATCCATTTTAGAATTATGTAAAAGCAGTACCACATGATTGGATTTGACTAAATAGTTTTTCCCTATTGGTTTATACTATATCTTCTCCTTTTTTTATTGGTCTATTATTATTTTATTGATTTATATACTGTGTGTGTATGTTTTACTTTAGTTTGTTTGTTGCTTAGTTTTGTTGTTCTGTATTGTTAACTTTTGAAAAAAGCTTAATGAAAATGTATAATTAAAAAAACAATATTTTTGATGACTTCCTAGGCTGGAATTTTTAAAGTGGCCCAATTAATATATTTTAGACTTCCTTTTTTATTTCAAAAGTCTCCTAAACAGCTTTACATGAATCAAAGATCAAAAAGCATATATTTTCTTATGATATATTTTACAACATAAGCACGGTCACACTGCACTTTTCGCCCCATGGACTTCCATTCATACACATTCGAATGCCCCAGAACAGAAAGCAAGCTCGTACAACAAAAATGTGCATGTCGGTTCATTGTAAAGTTCAAAATTGTTAAACTCTGATCTGCAAATGTGCACTATGTGAATGCATGAGATGAATAGAAGATCAAAACATTTTCGGTAATATTATTTTGTGTAATACATTTATTATATAATAATATAATATTAATTTGTGTAATAATTTGTTTCAGTGAATCAAATTAAATGGGATCTATTTTAATGATGCAACATATTTAACTTTTCAGAGTTTTGTGTATTCTGATCTACAATATCCTGTGATTAGCCATTTCAGAGGTTACTGTAGGTTAAATTACACAAACAACGCATCTAATTTTACTTAACTTTTACACACCTATTTTACAGGAAAAGTGTTTTGAATATTATTATTTAAGATGCAGATCAGAGCAAACTTATTTCCTTCTATTTAGAGGGCTGACGACCCCCATACATGTTGTTTTCACATCCTTCAGGGGTGATCAAGCATTAAATGGGGGGTCAGTCCCCCTAAACCCACTGTAATTTGCACACTGTAACCTCCCTAGCTTTAGATTACTCACAGAATGTTTTTCCCCTCACTAATTTTCCTCTTGAGTTAAAAATTGCATAAAAAGCGATTTGAGGTGAATTCTGGACATTTGGGCCAAACAATACAAGTCTCTATTTGCAAGTTAGCATTTAGTTTGCATGTAACTTACTTGAATACTTAACAAATACTTAATTCCACGTTTTTGGTGTGGAATTAATTACTGATCAATCATTTTAGAGGCAGTTCAGAGTTCTTGTTTTTAGGAAATTAATAATGCATTGATGCGTCAATCTTTTAAACTTTACACCTATATTACATGCTATTACAACAGTATATAATATTACACACTATATGAAAGGTAATATCTGAAAAAGCATAATAAGAGCACTTCGACATCATAACATTGAACAGATTTTAAAATCGCTTCACTTTTAAATACAGTAAAACGCCCCACTGAGCCACTTCATTAAAGTTGTGACTAAACGAATCTATGAGCTACGGCCGGGTCAGTTTTCCATTACGTCAAGTCTACAGAGAGATGTCAGTACAAACCGTTTCCCATTTTACGCCATTGGTTTAAGGGAATTACCTCACAAATCAACAATAATGTTGGGACAGTGGTGTTGGTTGATGATCTGTCCTATGTCTGAAACAAATTACCAATGTCGTCTGGAATCATTTGTGCAATTCCTAATGTTTCGGTGAAGCTCATGGAAATAGACGCCATGAATGGACAAAGCATTAAAGTTGACCAATAGTATCAGGCAATACTTTTGTATTTTTTTACCCAATGCAATTTAAGCCATTATTTATCCTACAGCTATATGAGGTGATCCTCATGTTAAACACATCATAGTTCCTCTTGGGATCTTCAAGTTTCAAATAGTACATCTGTTTTAAAACCTAATGCACTCAACTAGTGCATTTACAAAGTATTACAGCCATAACAGTGAGCTATTTTCTCTAGTAAACAATTTTCAAATAAGAATGACTTTGTCTTGAGTTAATATGCTTACCTTTGTGTCAAGAACAGACATGATCTTCTCCTTGGCTTCTTTCACATTGTCCCTTTTACCACTAACTTTGATGTGTGGATCTGAAAGACAAACATGTATTATGTCATTAGAGCTGCATGATTCTGGCTAAAATCAGAATCATGTTTTGTTTTTTGCTTAAAATCAAGGTCACAATTTTCTCAATAATGTTGAGTTCAACTGAGACTGGCAGAAAACCACGTGCAGTGCTTCACTGCTAAATAAATCCAGACAACATTTATATCATTCCAGCTCTTGCTCATTCTGTCATTGACTTCCGCACCATACACATCTGTCTCACTGTGCAGCAAAACCCCCTAAAATCCCCGGAATTAATCCTCATTCCTAACCGCTCATGCCAACATGCAGTAGACCTCTCTTATACAGTATTGTCCCATTAAAAGACTTAACATCACAAGGCCTGATGCCTTTTATATAAGTTGATCTGACCAACATCTACCATTATACAAGTAATAAAATGAATGATTAGCATGTAACCCACATTTACATGCACTGTTCACATCATTAGGTACACCGGTAACACTTTACAATAACAGTACATGAATAATGATGTATTAATGTGTAAACTAGGGATGTAACAATATTGTAAACACAGTCATACCACAATAGTCATTTTTTTCAATATAACCGTAGGCGCATGACTCGTTATATTAAATGAACGTTATATCGTGAAAAGTTTGCTTAGGCGAATGAAGCGAACGGGAGGTAGCGAGAACTACAATTCCCATCAGCCTAGGCGTGGCCATCATCCTTTGCGGTCTGTTGTCACAACAGATCCAAGTATGCAGAAATGGAGTGTGCTGCTAGTAGCGGGAAAGAAAAAGAGCTGGAAATGATCGAACCTAAAGTGGGTTTTACATCGGATGTGTGGAAGCATTTCGGTTTCTTTCTAAAAAGATACGAAAAAGGAGAAAAGGTGACAAAGAAAAAAACAGTATGCAGGCACTGCCAGACTGTGGTGAAATATAAGTCGGGGAATACGACTAAAAACAGTCATGGGGGCTGCAGAACACAGCACACTTGTTAGATTGAGGCAGACATAGACTTGTACCGCAAAGAGACCTCTATCTCACTCATGGTTTGTCCTCTCAAGTGGTGGAAAGACAATGCACAATGTTACCCACTGCTGTCAACCTTGGCTAAATCATATCTCTCTGTCCCAGAAACCTCAGTCCCAAATGAGAGGGTTTTTTTTCTGTTGCAGGGGACATGCCCAGAGATCCCAGCTTTTACCAGATTATAGTTATATGATAATTTTCCTTAAAAAACCCATCTCTATCTAAGTGAGTGAGTGATTAAATGTTGAATGTGATGAGTTTTCAACAATACTAAATTGAAACTTTATTTTTTTTTATATGGTTTAATAGTTTTTTGTTATTAAAATTGAAAAATTGAAGTTCCTGTTTCGAAACTTACAGATAGATGGCTAATTTGTTGTCATTGATATGTTCAGTGCTGAGGTAAATAAACACTTTTGGCACTTTTTTTCGAGTCTTTTCATTAGTTTTGTTTTTCCTGTAAATTATTCAATAAATACTGTACCGTGCCATTCATACCGAGGTATTATTGTACCGTAAAATTCTGATACCGTTACATCCCTAGTGTAAACTAAACATTACTTTATTATAAATTAATGATGAGTTTAGGTATGCACTAATCATGAATTAACTTTAATTACAACATGAGTCACATGAGTTCATGTGTAAATATTAACGACTACCTTAATTACCTGTTAGTACATGTTGTTAATTAATTTATTAATTAACATTTAAGTTTAAGCTAAATGTAACCAACAAGAACTCATGAGCTGTTAATGTATAGTTATGTCATGACTTTACTTGGAGGGGCACATCACTATTAACTCATCCTTAACTACTCATGAACTCCTGTTCATGTTGATGTTGACAGAAAACTTTTCTATTGTTATTCAGTGTAAACTCATTAAAAACTGACTTGGAAATGATGTTAATATAGTCCAGGGGTGGCCAACCCTGTTCCTAGAGAGCCACTTTCCTGCAGATTTCAGTTGCAACCCATATCAAACACATCTGAACCAATTAATTAGGACCTGAACACCGCGTGATAATTACAGGCAGGTGTGTTTGATATGGGTTGCAACTGAAATCTGCAGGAAGGTGGCTCTCCAGGAACAGGGTTGGCCACCCCTGGACTATATTAACATCATTTCCAATTCAGTTTCTAATGACACTCTCGGGTCTTTTTCAAGGAAACAGCTGCTTTAGAATTTTAAATGTTTTTCTTAAATATGAGAACATTAAAGGGTAGCTAAATCTCCAACAGTATTCTTTAAAACATCACAGTGTCTTTTCCTGCAATATCTAAATATATATTTTCTGTGCAAAATTCTTTATACATATCCAGTCCTCTGTAACGGTGGTCACACAAAAAAATAAAATATGTACATCTATATAAGTAACCCGCAAACAATATTATATGTTTTAATAAACATGAAAAAAACATGAAAAAAAAAAAAAAAAAATAATTACTCAGGTGAGGTTCGAACTCGAGCTGAATTGTAAGGCAATGTGCTGACCACTGGTCCACAATGGCAATCTTTATCTGCAAGACTCTTTTAACCACAGTATTACTTTCCATGGATAGCTTAATCTTTTGAAACTTTTTTAGATTTCTGATTAAGTTATGTCAGATTTTTTTAATGTAGTGAATCATCTGATTTTTTATTAAGCAGGTTTATTATTAATATTAAGTATTCAAGTTACTTCATCATTAACCTGCAGGCTGCATTTGGCTCACGGGGCTGCGAGAAAATAAATTAATCAGCGGAGCTGCGACAAAATAATGAATAAAAAGAGTGAGGCTATGGTCAAAAAAAAAAAATAAAATAAAGTGTGACTGCTGAGAGTGCAAGCAACTAGGGACACTAAAAACGGACCGGCCCTCCGGGAATTCTCCTGGCCCTCCCGATTAGTCAATCCGGGCCTGATGCTATTGTGAATACGTACCTGTCTACATTTCTGGAGAGAGTGAATTATGTAGCCAGAGGTATGTATGACTGCATTTCCTCTTTATAATGAACGCTACGGGGGGATTTGACGCGGCCAATTGCTTCTGTTCTTTTTAGCGATACAAGCTGATTGCTTACCTCCTTATGGACAGCTTTTCTGATGTTACCAGTTTGCTCAGTAGCTCACAGCGAACGCTGATAGACTTGAGACACGGAGCTGAGTTAATCCACAATGACAGGGTTCGAGTGCAGTTCCAGAATGGTTTCAGAAACAAGGTAAAGCAAAAAAAATAACTACACAACAGGCTTAAAACGTGGTGAAATCAAGCAGTAGCGACTGCTTTTCTTTTTCTTAATTGCTTTTAAAAAAAACACAACCCGTTGGGTTTAGGGACAGGGTGGATGAGTCAGTCAGTCGAGAGCAAGCTGCCTGGTCAGCTGAAGTGTATATTGCACCCTCTGGTGGATTTACATGAGAAGAGGACTTTGAGATCATTAAAAAGCTTACAAAGCGACCTGGTGGATTTGCAAATAGCAAAAACTGCCAGAAGACGTACCTCCAGTTACATATTTCGATGTCCCTAGAAATGTAAACCTGGGTACCTATCGGCAATGAGCCTGGGTTGAATTTTGTGAATCACTGTTACAAGTGATTAGAACACAATCTGCTTTTAAAAACTTCTTTTAACATTCAAAACATAGCTTTTATTACGTTGCGGTGTCACATTGCATGTAGTTAGGACACAATAATAGAGGGCTATGTGGTGATTAAATGTGTATTATGCACATGCACATTTCAGTTATAATGGTAGACTACCTCAAACCTGTATTAAAACTTAAACTCCTCCCTACAACCTGCCAAAAGTTCATTCATTCATTCATTTTCCTTCAGCTTGGTCTTTATTTCAGAGATCACCACAGAAAGTATGAACTATTCTAACTAACTATTCCAACATATGTTTTACGCAGCGGATGCCATTTCAGCCTCAACCCATTACTGGGAAACATTCATAGACTCTCTCATTCACACACACACTCATACACTAAGGCCAATTTACTTAGTTCAATTCACCTTTAGCGCATGTCTTTGGACTATGGGGAAAACCAGAGCGACATGACTAAACCTACACCAACACTGGGAGAACATACAAACGCCACACTTAAACGCCAATTGGCCAAGCCGGGACTCAAACAAGCAACCTTTTTGCTGTGAAGCGACAGTGCTAACCACTGAGCCACCATGCCACCCCTTCCAAAAGTTCAATTTATTTCCATTAAGTAGTGCAGTGCACTTTCCAGTGTAGTTCATATGGCCCTAACACAAGTTTTAGTAACAAGACAAGTTTAAGAATGTAAAGCTTACCCACAAGACACGCCAAGCCATATAATTCACCCTCCACAAAGGAAGAAAACAAATACAGTACAAGGCTCCAGGTCTAACACTTCACGTCTGGCTTTCCGTGCCATTTCTGCTGTTCCGGAGCTTAAAGGAAACTCACGATGAGACCTTTCAGAGCCAAAAGGAATGAGTAAAAAAAAAAAATCTAAATCACTGTCCCACGCACAAGCGTATTTCCACACCGCAAAATCCTGCAAAACATCTATTCGCCTCAACTGGATGAACACTGCGGGAGGAAATCTCTCCATCCCGGCTCCAGCGACATTCCACACGCCAGAAAACATGCAGTGTTTAGAGTTAGCCCCTACAGTAAAGCCTTCGCTAAAATTGCATGTAATGCGACCATTTTCTGTGGTCAATCTGAAGTGCTCTGTAGAGGTTTTACAGTTTATATTGCGGCGTTAAGGGGGGGAAACAAGAATATAATCACATACAATAGGGCTTCTCTCGTGTGAACTTGCCAATTCGCTGTGGTTTAGCACATGTAGGATTACACCCGCTGATTAGGATCGCTCCGCTTCCACGTTGGCAATTATTGTCCAGCTCAACAGTTTTGAAAGGCATCTCCTTAAGAATGGGATTTGCAGAGTGGTGAAAAGGGTGTAATGTAATATATTCATCGCTTACCGAGTGAAGCATTGCTGGTGTGGATGCTGTTCAAGACTACCACAATGCACCAATCTTTCACATTTATGCATACAAAGCTAAACTGGCTTTTTGAATTGCTTCAGAACTATAAATCACAATGCTGTTGGTGGATTTGTTGTTTAAATTCTTGAGATCTGGGATGTTGGAATGTCTACATTTTGTAGATACAGTAGAGTCAAGGTAAACGTTGATGGTGTTATGATCACTATTATAATGCTCTAGCAGTGCTACACCTAAAACTAAAAAGTGCTCGGATTTCTGAAATGGACAAGTGACTTTTTTTAATTTGGTTTTTAAAGTGTCATTGAAATTGCTAATTGTATCCACACAGGGTTTAGAATTGTGTCAAAGTCCGATTAAGGCAAGTCATTTAACTCGGCGGCCATGTTTTTGAATGGGGAAAACTTTCCAAAATTGCTTGCCAAGCTTACTATTACATTTCGTATTAGGAATCATCAATACATTTATGCAACTGCCTCTTTAGTTTAATTTCTAAATGTTCGAATCACACATAGTTTACCGAAACTCTTCCTCTGGAGAATCATCAGTTTATATCAATCGATGATTGGCTCCTGCACTAGAAGGCGGGGCTTCATTCACCATATTGATTGTTAAATTTCCCCATTCAAAACTTTACGAATGTAACGTCTTGTGTATTCTACAGTCTTTAGCCCCTTTCACACAGTGATACCGGTAAATATCCGGAAAATTTACGGAACGACTTTACCGGTAAATTCAAAAAAGCGCTGTTCACACAGGCGAGGACGTTACGGAATTTTTCCGGAAAAGAGCCTTCACACATCCATCGCAAAATGCTGGTAAATTCTGACATCATTCACCAGAAATGACCTCTAAACGGCTGCGCTTGTGTTTGTAAACATTTGACTACATTACAAACTCTTTGGATGGATCAGTATTGAGTACAACTCCAATGAAAACACATAGAAGAACACTTTCGCATGTCGAGATGTTCATGATATGTGTGTGTGCTGGCGCTATGGGTGCTCACGGGCACACGCAAAGCTTGAAGGTAAACAAACAACGGATTATCATAAACATTTTATCGATAATTATTTACACAGTTAGCATTAAGGAACATAGAAACGTTATTTGACTAACATCTAGCAGCTAAATGTGTCTGGAAAAATATTCAAAGGCTTTTATTCTTATAAACCGCGCGCACGTGAATGCGTCTGACTGTTTTGATTGGCTAAAGCAGGTGTCTCACGTCAGCACGTTCTAGACGTGTACGCGCTGTTTCCGGCAATCTTCCTTCTGCATTCACACAGCGCACCATTCCGGCAAATTACCGGTAATGTTACAACTTCTCTTTCCGGAAAATAGCCAGAACGAATTTACCGGTATTTTCAAAAAGGACCTGTTCACACATACAACCTTTCTGGAAAATTGCCGGTAATTTTCCGGAAAGGTCTGTATGTGTGAAAGGGGCTTTTGATTGTTTATTGTAACAAAACTTGTCATAAATCTGTCATAAACAATGATTGTCATTGATTTTTAACAGCGTCATTAATATTTAATGATGTTTTAATGGCAAATTCGGCTTGTACCACTATAGGTGAGGTGAGAAAAATATTAATGATGCTGTTATAAAAATCATGACAATCATAATAGCTTTATGACAATCAAGTTTATGGCAGATTTATGACAATTTTGTTGTCTTAGTGATGTCAAGTTGTCAGACCAAAGACAAAAACAGCTTGTGGTCTACATTACCTGACATAAGTCGATCCTAGTTGTAAGAGCAACAAATAATAACTTCTAGTTGATGATTTGGAAAAGTGGCAGAAGGTAGATTTTTCGGATGAATCATATTGAACTGCATCCCAATCATCACAAATACTGCAGAAGACGTATTGAAACCTGCATGGACCCAAGATTCTCAGAGATATCATTCAAGTTTGGTGAAGGAAAAATCATGGTTGGGGGTTACACTGAGTATGGGGGCGTGCAAGAGATCTGCAGATTGGACGGCAACATCAACAGCCTGAGGTATCAAAACATTTGTGCTGCCCATTACATTACAAACCACAGGTTACAAACCACATTACTTCTGTTTGGTGACAAGACTTTCATCTAAGCAAAGTCGGACCTTACTGTCCTAACTAAATCATTAAAAATCAAGTCATGATCATGTTTTATTTTGGTAAAATAAGCGTAATCTAGAGGCCTTTGCCTTTCATTTAAGCCACTTTCTCTACCAAATGATCAACTAGAAGTCAAGTTATTATTGGTTGTTCCTAAAACTTGAATAGGCAACAAGACTTTTGTCAAGGAGTATATTTATTGATGTCACATTGTCATAACAAACTGCCATCTTTGCATTTAAAATGATATAACTGAACATACTGTTGTTATAAGCCTGCATAATATCTCATTCATATTCATGATGTATCAAATCATGATTATAAAGGTTTCATGACAGTCTTATGAACACCCCTTTAAATAAAGTGTTACCCAAAAGGACCACTACATCTCATTGGCGAAAGACTTGATGTAAATACAGAATCCTCCAGCTGGGTCAAATCCTTTGTGCACACCTTTTAACTAGAGAGTTAAATATAGCCTCCATGTAGGCATGCTTACACACACACACACCTCCATCCACAGCTGGCTTTGATAAGCTACACACTGTGCTGACTGATGTGAGCAACACATCTGTCGAAACACATTCCTTCGAGAGTCTAAATCAGTCATTTCAAACAGCAGGGGGAATGTAGAAAAGGGGAGAAATCAAACAACCACCGAGCTGAATACACACACAGAAATCAGCTCATTTCAGATGTGATTCATCTTGCTGAATCATATGGAAAGAATCTGTTAGACTGCTACTGGCTATACACCTTATTCCTAAGTCCTGATGCTTTTGCGTGAATGAAATGATGTTAAACTGTAAACAATCTGTTATAACGGGGTTCGAGTCCGGTAAAAAACGATTCCAGAAAGCAGGTGGGACAACAACAAAAGGCAAAAAATAAAATAAACACGTTCTGGGTCAGAATGTGGTAAGATCTGAAATTGTGGTAAAAATCAGAGGGCTTTTCTTTTTCTGTATTGCTTTTTAAAACACTATTGGTTGGATTTAGAGAAGAGAGAGGGTGGGTCAGTCAACTGTTTAGTCAGTCAGTCATTCAGTCAGTCCAGGGCTCAACAATAAGGACTGTCCAGTGGCCCGGGGCCAGCGTGAAAGACGCTCGGGACAGTAGACAGAATTGTTACTGGCCCCTATCGGCCAGTAACGGTGAGCATGCAATTTTTTTCGTAACATGGTAACAACAATTACACCGAAAAGATGGCAACATCTAACTATGAGGCTAAAAGAAAACGTCAGTTTCTAAAGTCTTGGAAGCAGACAATTACATGGGTACTAAATTAAGAAACTGGGAGAAAAAAAAAAAAAAAAGAGTTGTCGGTTTGGCAAGCCATTTTTATAAAAATAATTTAGAATTGCACTAAAATACCAGCACATTTTTCATACTGCTCTTTCGTTTGCATAAAATCAAACTTATTTTGTTCAATATACATTTATTAACATTTTTAAATGTTTAAATTCTAGATTCATACATTATATTGCCACATTATTTAAAATATGTGGCTAAGAACTAGCTATTAACCTTTTTTTTTTTTTTTTTTGTGGGGCCAGTGAAAATTTTGGCAGGGCAAGTAAAAACCTCAACCACTGGACCAATCGGCCCAGTAGAAAAAGTCCTTAGCGTTGAACCCTGCAGTCGATAGCAGCCTCTGGTGCATTTACGCGAGAACAGCAGGCACGAATAATCTGAAAAAGCATACACAGCGGCCTCTTGTGGATTCGCGAAAACATTAACTACAAAAAAAACGTTGCTCCTGGGATGTATTTTGCTCTCTCCAGAAATGTATAAAGTATATGTGTAATGTATATGTGTATATGCATAAATATATTCCGTCCGTCCATCCATCCATCTATTCATCCATCCATCGCTATTTCTTGAAAACTTAGTATATTTATAATGTTATTACATGGGTGTCAGCAATATATAATTCTGATTGGTCAATCACAACATTCCAGGGTATAATATTTTTGAATAACAACTGCTAAAATAATAACATCCAGCTCATGTTCTTGTCAGCAAATACATTAAGGGATAATCAATGGCTTGTCATGCATTCAAGTATTTTAAATGTACACAAGAGATAGAGAGATTGTTTATGTGCAGGTAAGCGACATGGGAATATCTAATAGCTCATAGTAACATGAGTCAGCTACCTCTATACTTGTGAGTTAGTTAATCCCTAATGGCTACATAGTAAAACACAGATCACAAATGAATGAAGGCTCCGGTAATTGTTACTGAGTTCCTGTGGTTACAGCTGATCTTTGAGTTAAGCACGTTTATTTTAAACTGTGATCAAAACTGACTGGACCTACCTGCGTATTAACTTTTATTGCACACCATCCAGCCA